CTAGAAATGGCAGGTTTGATATGGGCCTGTAATTGTTCATTACTGAAGCATCTAGATTATTCTTTTTTAAGAGCGGTTTAATGACTGCAGTTTTCAGGGCCTCTGGAAAAATACCTGAGTGAAGAGATGTGTTTACTATATGAAGTAGATCTGAGGCCATGCAAGGAAAAACATCTTTGAAAAATCCTGTTGGTATAATATCAAGGCAGCAGGAGGAGGATTTCAGAAGTTGAATAATGTCCTCTAAGTTTTTACCATTAATCTGATGGAATTGTGTCATGGTGTTTGAATTGATATTAGGTGGACACAGGGACAACACATTTGCTGTACCTGATGCAGAGGCACTGACTGCTTGTCTGATGTTCTGAATGTTGTCAGTGAAGAAGGAGGCAAACTCATTGCAGATAGAAGTTCAGAGGCTACTGACACTGGGGGGTTAGTTAGTCTGTCGACGGTAGTTTTGGTAATGATATCAGAGAAGCTTGAGAACTAATCTCGGGGTTTGTCAAACAAAGCACATGGTGTAGTCCCAAACGATAGCTGAGGATTCTGGGTAGTGTAGTGTCTTCTGCCATCCTAAACTCCGAAAAAATATTTGTTTCTCCAAATCGAAAGGGGAAAATACAAAAGCATTGCACACAATTTAAAACCAATCAATGTTGTGTAATTAACAAGATAATCTGGTGTTTCTGAGTTGATGAGTAGTGCAGATATCACTGTCAAATCAATCGACAGTAAGGAGAATACTTACTTCCGGGTGTAAAATCCTCCGTTATCCAATGGGAATGGACGCTCACATTGCCTTTAAATGCCGCCGACATGGACCGATGCGGTGCTTCCATGAGCGTCAAATACCGCCGCCGATGGGAATACATTGCAATCAGTTGAAAGCTCTTTGCGTCCGTTTATGAAGCTGAAGGAGCCTCGGCGTGTCCCAACTGCACTCCACGGGACCCTGACCAAGCGTCGCTCCTGGACGTTTAGGGAGTGAGAGTGTGTTGCAGGGGCAAGTGTGGAAGAAAAATTCTGAGTAAACATTTCCCTAGTATTTTCAGTTAAATATCGCTTTGTGGTTACCTCTTTTTGAATATTTGTGTGAACAGAAATAGAGCTCTCAAAGAAAACACAGGAATGATCAGAGAGTGCAACATCAGTCACCACAACCTTTGAGATATTCAGACCCTTTGAGATAATTAAGTCCAGAGTGAGCCCCTTATTGTGCGTGGGCTCCGTCACATGCTGAGTCAGTCCATAGTTATCAAGAACACAGTTCTTTAGCCCCTCTGTCCTGGGGGTTGTCAACATGGATGTTAAAATCACCAACAATGACTAGACGGTCAAAGTCAATACACACTATAGACAGCAGTTCAGTAAAGTCATCAGAGAAGCTTGCACAGTATTTGGGTGGTCTATAGATATTTAGGAACAGAGCTCGAGAGGAGCATTTCAGCTGAAGGGCCACATATTCAAAAGAAGCAAAGTCCCCATAAGATGTCTTCCTGCATTGAAGGGAATCATTGAACAAAATAGCAACTCCACCTCATTTCTTATGCATTCTTTCCTGACTCATAAAACTAAAGTTGGGAGGGGTTGATTCGATAAGAACAGCTGCACTGTTATTTTGTTCAATCCATGTTTCCGTTAAAAACATAAAATCGAGATTGTGCTCAGTGATAAAATCATTGATTAAAAATGTTTTTCCTGCCAAAGACCTGACATTTAATAAAGCTAGTTTAAGTTTGTTAAACACACTATCAGACAGATGTGTTGTAACAAGCTGTGGCCGACATGGAATCACTGCTAAATTTGATAACCTCACACAAACGTTTGAGCACTTCCTGTTTCTAAGCTGATTTACCGCTCTTAATCTATTACCGATCAACACAGATATCGGCAAAGCTACTGGCAGGCAGGGCCCCGGCATGTCCTGGAAAGAGTTGAGAGTGCCATATGCCCTTGAGCCTGGACCCAGCACATATCAGTTAGGGTTTGCTGCGTTTTGTACACACACATCCTTATCAGGCTTTGGAGACCGCAGATGCTTTCTTGAAGGGGGGGGAGGTGGTTGACGTGGGCACGGTGATGAAGACGGGGGAGATGGTGCGCGTCTCTGCTTCGGTGATTCTGGTGGGCGCCGTAGAGGGGCGGGGGTAAAGGACATGCTGCCAACCCTGCGTATCGCCTTCATGTTCTCAGTGAATCATATCATGCGTTAAGATGATTCACTCCCTCTGTTTCTATGAGAATGTTTTTGTACTGCCTTTAAATACATTTGTTCAATCAATCAATACTTGTAAAAAAATATAACGCACGACTCCCAGAAGAGAAATACATTGATATACATTATTTTTTATTTATAAACCCTTAGCTTGTTTGTTTTAGCATCAATTCTGCCATGTTTAAAACCTTCTGCACATCGACACATGAATCAAAAAACAATTTACTGTTAACTTATTTAATATAAATTAAGTGTGTAAGAGAGTAAAACACTTCATATATAATAATACTGGTTTTATATTTTTTATGAAACAATGAAGACATGAGAAATCAGACTTTGACTTTCCGCCCTTAAAGGGCCCATGTCATGGCCATTTCCACTGATCATAATTACATTGTTGAGGTATACTAAAATAGATTTATACTGTGCAATTTTACAAACTCACATTGGTTTCGCATACAGCATCTCTGTCAAGCATGTGTATTCAGCAGTATTCACTTTCTCCACTAAACGACTCGTTGGAGCTCTTGCCCCCCCCTCCCTGTGAGCCTAGTGTGCTCCGATTGGTCAGCTCGGCCACTCGTTCTGATTAGTCAACCACCAGAGAGGCTGCGCCCATGTCAGTGCTTTTCCCGGCTGCTCTCAGCGTAACATCAGTCTTATCATGGCGTCGGTACAGCGGTATATTTTATATACATATATATTTGTAACTGTTGTTATAGAAGAGTGTGACGGCCCCAGGGCCTTTGTCTTACGATGGGGTGGAGCTGAAGAAGCTAATCAGCACGATCACGGACACCTCCGGACACTACGGCCCCAGTCTCTCTCCAAAGCGGCTGCAGGAAGACTAACTCTGCGATCCTCTCAACCACCTATCTTTGCATTTACCACAATAAATGTGCCGTGGTTTTGTAAACTCGTGTATGTCTCCTTGTCTTTCCGTTGTGGCCTACGAGCTACTCTCATAACAAAGAGTAAGTTATTTTTACCCGTTATAAACTACTACTGTTTGATGAGAAATCAAATCATGGTTTGCTATATATGAATTCAGGGAAGAAAGGATAGGCCTACTAAGTATTTCCATTAAACTTTATTTTTAGAAATGTACAAAATGAACATAAATATACATATATACACACGGTATATCATCCATTCCTCCTCCTCTTGCCTGCGCACAGCCGGTGCGGTGCGGTGCCTTTTAGCACGAGGCCTCAGTAGTAGTAGAATCCCTTCCCCGTCATGGATTGTCCGCCAGGATCTGGCTGGACGAAATCAAATGCAAATCACAAAATATTAGAGAAACTTAGTTGTTTTAGATTCGTTAGTAGTAGTTGTGTAATGAACAGCTTGCCTGCTAATATGCTAACCTAGCTTTGTTTACCTTGGTAGCTAACACGTAATGAACGTTAGCTTGGAGAAAGGCAACTATAATGCAGTGTAATAAAACTACTGATGAACAAAAGCTAGTGGTTCATATTAGGCTAGCAAATAAAGTGTTTATATTGCAATCGTATACGGGGTATTCTGCTACCTATACAATGTAACTTGCATGAATACATTGTTTTGCGCTAGCATACAGCTAGCCTCGTTAGCTACATGCAGTATATGTACGGTCACAATGTACGGTAACCGGAGTATACTGTATGAGTATTCCGTGTGTGTGACTGCAGACATTCTCCTGCCATGACAAACATGTAAGGCCATCTGCTGACATTGTAGTTGATATATTTAAACGCTAGCAACGTAGCATCACAAAAATGTTTTTCTGACCAAAACTAGCTCAAGCTCCGTGTGTTAGATCGCTACGCCAGCTATAATGTAATTACGTTTCGCGACTGACCGGCAAATCACCCGCAGTATACTGTCAATAGGTATTTTGTGTGTGAATGCAGACATTCTCCTGCTATGAGATACATGTATGCAAGGCCATCTGCTGATATTAGAGTTGATATATGGAAACTCTAGCAACTTAGTTAGCACAGTTAGCACTGTGTCAATGGCTTAGCAGTCCAACACAGTTTACACATTTAAACAGTCTTGTTTGATAAATACACAAATAACAATGCAAACTTACAGGTTGTATACCCAGATCTTCCCCTGCTCCAAACGGTCCAAACAAGCTGTGCATATCCGGCCTCAAACTGGGCAATGTTTTTGGAAGCTTTCGTCTGTGAAATGCCGGTTCTTCGAACCTCTGGAGGAGGAACACGCCGCTGCTGGTGTGGCCATAGCTCTTCGGGATTGGTCCATTTCGTTCCGGGTACCGCATGACATCAGGCGGTACCCGGAACTAAATGGAAGACTCAAATGGGCAGTGACGTATCTCCAACGAGGCGTTTTGGGGAGGTATTTTCTGTGTTAGAGTTTTACTCGCTACAGGGTGTACTTTGAGGGTTTTGATTCTGCACACCGTTTACATGCATTAAAACCTTCATAACACACAAGGGGACGGGTAATAACCGGAAAAGCATGACATGGGAGCTTTAACAAAATAACTCTCCTCCTTTAATCCAGACTCATTTTACTTTGCAATTTAACACACATATATTTATTATTAATGATAAACCAGTGCTAATATTGTAATCAAAGTAATGGTTTTGATGTGCAATATTTCAGTTCAACTTCTTGTGTTTTATAATATATTTTTACTTTTTGTATTTATGAACACATGTTATTTATGTATTCCTTAATGCAGCATCTGTTACGAAACCCCGTATTCTTTAATATGTAAAAGATTGACGTCACAGGGTGGTGACGTCACTGCATTTCTCCGGAGCCTCCGTCAGTCAGCATGAAGAGCGCGAGGACGCTGCAGCAGCTCGCGAGCAGGTCCGTGGGGGTGATAGGAGCTCCGTTCAGCGGGGGGCAGGTGAGATCTTTACTGATCATTTCAATCACAGATCACCCTGTCATCATGTCATCATGTAGGAGCGAGTCAGAAACAACAACTACATTTAAATAAAGTTCCGTTTGGATCCGTTTGTTTCTCCACTTGATGAATCTGGAGTTCACAGCGAGAGACTCAGGGAACTAAACATGTTCATAATAATCATACATGTAATACACACTCTGCATTATGATATATGAAATACTGCAGGGGGAGAAGTAGTCAGTAAAAGTAGAAGTACTCAGGTCTTGTACTTGAGTAAAAGTAGAAGTACTCAGAACTTGTACTTGAGTAAAAGTAGAAGTACTCAGATCTTGTACTTGAGTAAAAGTAGAAGTACTCAGGTCTTGTACTTGAGTAAAAGTAGAAGTACTCAGATCTTGTACTTGAGTAAAAGTAGAAGTACTCAGATCTTGTACTTGAGTAAAAGTAGAAGTACCAGAGTGTAGGAATACTCTGTTACAGTAAAAGTCCTGCATTCAAAATGTTCCTCAAGTAAAAGTATAAAAGTATTCTCATCAAAATATAGTGAAAGTACAGTAAAAGTAGTCATTGTGCAGATTGGTCCATTTCAGAATAATATATATGATATGTTTTATAATGATTGATCATGAAAGTGTTCTCAAAGCTGGTAAGGTGCAGCTAGTTTGAATGACTTTGTATACTGCAGGGTAGCTTGTGGATTTACTCCAGGTGGAACTAAAGTCTGATTTAACACTTGATTATATTTCACATCATTCATCCACATCTGTGAAGTAACTAAAGGGATTAAATACATGGAGTGGAGAAAAAGTTACACCATGTACCTCTGAACTGTAGAGGAGTAGAAGTACACCATGTACCTCTGAACTGTAGTGGAGTAGTAGTACAAAGTAACAAAAAATGGAAATACTCAAGTAAAGTACAAGTACCTCAACATTGTACTTAAGTACAGTACTTGAGTAAATGTTCTTAGTTCATCAGATGGATGTATTTGTCTCTGTCTGTCAGCCTCGTGCCGGAGTGGAGCGCGGGCCGGACCTGATCAGAGCTGCAGGCCTGCTGACCAGACTGCAGGAGCAAGGTGTGGTGTGTGTGTGTGTGTGGTGTGTGTGTGTGTGTGTGTGTGTGTGTGTGTGTGTGTGTGTGTGTGTGTTTAAATATGACAACATGAGGAGTGTTTGTCCATCAGGCGATCAGTGAATGACCTGAAGGTCGAACACACACACACACACACACACACACACACACACACACACACACACACACACACACACACACACACACACACACACACACACACACACACACACACACACACACGGCTCTCCTTTATATAATATCATTACCCAGAGCAAAACTAAATCTGTGACGCCAACACCCTGAAGCAAGGAACCACCTCCTCATTTAAATGTTAAACCTGAAGAACCGGCGCTGAGGAGAGGGAGGGTTCTACTGGACCAAGACGCCAGTCGGGACTATCTAACAAAAACTAGAACCTGATCAAATCCATACAACAGAAACAGAACCTCAGAGTTAGAACCGGCTCAACTGTGAACCATCTGACAAAAGTAAACAATCCTGGTCTGAAGAACCGGATCAATGTAGAAAATATAACACAAAAAGGAACCTTAGTGTTAGAACCGGACCGAAGAACCAGATCAATGTTTCCAACG